AAAGAAGGCTGTGAAAATAAATCTGCATTGTTAATCATTTTGATCTTTTATTTTAAAAATTCACATAAATCTAACCTTTCATTGGAGAATAAGAATTTAAAATGGGGGGAAATATCATTATGACATAAATGTTTTTCTCTAATACACATTGGACACAATTAACAGCACCCTTTTATTCAGTGCTTTTTGAAACCTCCATTTGGCATAATAACAGCTCTTGAGTTTTCTCCTATAATGCCTGATGAGTTTAGAGAACACTCCTTCATCAAGAATCTCTCCAGATCCTTCAGATTCGCAGCTCCATGTTGTTGCTTCTTCTCTTCAGTTCACCTCACTCATTTTCTACAGGGTTCAGATCAGGGAGCTGGGACGGCCATGGCAGAAGCTTCATTTTGTGCTCAGTGACACATTTTTGTGTTGATTTTGATGTTTGTTTTGGATCATTGTCCTGATGGAAGATCCAGCCACGGCCCATTATAAGATTTCTAACAGAGGCGGTCAGGTTTAGATTTTTTATCTGTTGGTATTTGATAGAATCCATGATGCCAATAGCTGAACAAGATGTCCAGGACCTCCGGCAGAAAAATAGGCCCACAACATTAAAGATCCCGCAGTATGTTTAACCGTGGACATGGGGTACTTTTTTTATCCCTGTTTGCACCAAACGCATCTGGTGGGTTTGCTGCCAAAAAGCTCTTTTGTTTAGTTTCATCTGACCATAGAAGCCAGTCCTGTTCGAAGTTCCAATCGTGTCTGACAAACTGAATATGCTGGAGTTTGTTTTTGGATGAGCAAAGAGGATTTTTCTTGAAAGCTTCCCGAACAACGTGCTGATGTTTGAACTAATCTCTGCAATTCTCCAGCTGTAATCATTAGAGGGTCTTTAGCCTGAACGCCTTTTATACTCCATTACGCAGTGGTCACGGTGTGAGAACCTCACCTCCCAGCAGGACACAGATGAGGATGTGTCTCCATTGATGGTTTAAGCCTTGTTCGGTTTTGTTTATTTGTCAAAAATACTTCAGTGCTGAGTTAAGAGCGTTCTGGAAGTTTAAAATGAGTCCACGAAGACTTTATTACACTACCCAGTGCCGCTTTTATCTTTTGTCCCCCGTTTTCAAACTGGCTGGCTCATGAAATACAGGCTGATGACAAATTAAGAGCCCTCAATTGGGTAACACATTTTCAACTCCCCATTTCCTGATTACAACCCCTGTCATTTCAGACTCTATACAAAAGGCATCATTATTATGGTCTTAACTCTCCTACTCTTTCTGGAATGAGAAACACACTTTTGAAGTTAAGAAATGATGCAGGGTCCACATATGTAGATCTGCTGGCCTTGAAAGGAGTAGTTCACTCCCAAAAAGCCTTGTTTTACCTGTGGTTGCTTTTATTTGTGTGTGTCCTCGCAGACTTGAGAAAATGGAGGCTGTTTCTGACACAGATGTGCAGTTCTGGATGGCCAAAGCCGTGAACTGGGGGGAGGATACGTCATGTTCTGCTCTTCTGGACACAAGCAGACACCTTGGCTCTCTGAGGAGCTTTCTCCAGCAAGTTCTGCAGGGGTTGCAGCAAATGGTATGAAAAATGTCAACATACAGCTTTATACTTCAAGCAGTACTTTTTGTCTGGAGTTTTGTGAAACAGTACAAAGGCCACAGTTGATCCCTATAGCTGTTTTGTTAAATGTTAGGATCCAATAAACAATTGTTGATCTATAAAGTAGTTCTGCATAACAATATTCTTAATTCTTTACCAGGGAATATGTTGCATTAGAGTTTACATTATCTACAGAGCAGGTATGGGCAGGATGGTCTACTAGTCATCCAACTAACTGATTAGTGAGGTCAACTGCATTAAGATTTGAAATATAAATATATATAATAAATATTTAACAATACACGTTTTCTCTGAACCCATAATACACATTTTATTCATTTAAATTAATTTTATGTTTGCATTTATATAATTGCATTTAAATAGCATAATATAATATAAATATATAATATAATACACCCCCCAACCCCTTTTTTTAGCTGGAAACTGTACAAGAAACAGCATCAATTAATCTCTTGAACATGATGGCATGCATAACAAAATATTACTGATTGTTTTATCATTTTTAATCTGATTTAAACTAGCAGGCAAGTTTAAATAATCAGAATTCACAACCATATGTCAACCAAATACTTAAGTTTGCATAAAAAAAAATAAAGGCATAAAAATACATTTACATGATCAACTGTCATGATCATTGGCTCTCACACTGGCCTTGGACCAGTGGGCCATGCTTATTATTGAGCCCTGTAATCGTTTTTAACTGTGGTGCTTACATAAATTAAGAGATGCAACTTTTTGGAGAGAGTTTTAGCATGCTGACAGCATGCTGTGCTTTAACATGCTAAAAGTCTCGCAGTTACTGAGAACTTAACGTTAGTCAGGTTTGAAAATGTGTAGTTTTGCACATCTCTACTGCAGATTTCATAAAATCACCTTTAAAATTAAAGTCGTAGTCCTTTAACTAACTCTTTTAGCACCCCTAACAGAAGCTGCTCTGTGCGGATGAAGGCAGGACATTGGCACAGTCGTGGTGATGACTTAGTGGGCTAATAGCCACCCAGGGACTGCCAGCGTTAACCTAATGTATCCCTGCATCAAGTGTTGCAAATTTGGACGAGGTAGCAAGGGTTAGGACGACTCTGAAGGACCAGTGTTCAGAAAAATTCTGCCTCCCACTGACTCTCCTTACCTTGAAAGAAGGTCTTTATTCATCTTGCAGCGGCCTTTCGCACCAGCAGATCTCCCGTTGGCCCTGCACACCATGCTGCTTGGTGCCTGGTGTGTCAGAAAAGAAAACAAAGTCTTGTAGGCTTTCTTATTTCAACTTACAATGGCCACCCTGCCAAAATACAATCACGCTTTCCATTTCCATCACATTCTGCATGCGTCAGCCCCTCTGACAGCATTCAGCAACGTGAAGGGATCAGGATTTCTTAATTGGCCCTAAACTCTTGTTCCCGGCATAGCCTCATAAAACAGCCTGAATGAAGCGGATCTGAACAGCAGCACTTGAATGAGTTAAGGACATAGCTCGCGTCTGGGGATGAAAAAATGTCTAATTTATATCAATTTCCTCATTTGCATTAGATCAGAACCAGTTTTCCCACTCCCTGCTTGGGACTGCTGGAAAGGGGAGTTTTCACGGTCCTGTAAACGGTTTTCTTCCTAAGCCTGGCACAGTTAGGTGCCTGCTGGAGATGCGCCACTGCTCGAGGGAGACTGAGAGATGCATGTGTGTGTAAGCACATTCAGTATTTGCAGACTTGTGAATGTGTACATTAGACTTTTTGCCCTTTAACTCCCATGAGAAGACATCTCTGGGATGGTACACGCAATGACAAAGCTGTTCATACCCCTGTGCTGGAGCTGGAGCTGGGGCCTGTACCATGATGGTGGCTGAACAAATTCAGAATTACAGTCACTGCTGACAGAAAGGCTACGTGCGCTGTTTAATGCGTTTGAGATGTGATGTTTTCCTCAGCGCATAACTTACATTTCACATGTATATTCTCCATCTGTAAATGTTAGAAAGTCATGGAAATATTTCCATTTTCCTGTCAGGAGTGGATGAGCCTCCTGCATCCGATTCTCTGTTAAACTTGACAGACTTCAGTGAACGAGTATGCGCGCCAAACAGACCGAGCGCAATGAAATAAGATTGCAATAATTCTGACTAAAATATACATTTTGCTAAAATATTTCTTGTTGGACAATAAATGTGCCATATGTAGAATTTTTAAACCTACAAGTAAGTGTATTCTTATGATAGCAGTAGCCTAACTGTAATGTGGTAATCAAAATGACCTAATACAATTAGTGTGCCTTTTTTATTTATTATTTTTTGTTTTTGTTTTTAACCCTTTTTATGCATATACTGTAGGCTATTATATAGCATAGCTACATGGTTGCATTCACTATATTTGTTTTAATAGCTTTTAATATGAACATTGCTTCATTGGACAACCTTTTTTTTTAATGAATACAGATGTTTTTTCATCCAAATAGCAAAATGTAGAAAATACAGAGATAGGCCTATATATTGTATATCGCAATTCAGCCAAAAATACAGAGATATGATTTTTTTGGCCTTATCGCCCAACCGTACTTCATGGTACAGGCCCCTGGACCTTGTCATGACATTTATGAGAGGTCATATGTGAATGGGCTTTTCAAACCGTTTTTCAAGGGTCCACATTAGGGCAGCATAATTAGTTGCATTAAAATTTATATTTTGATATGTCATAGCAAAATTATTTAAAGACTGCAATTTAATGTAAAATTATATTGGACATTTTGATTTCTTTTATTTTTAGATATAATTAAAAATGTTATGAAAATTTAAATTATTAAATGTAATTTTAATTAAAAGGTTTAAACTGGTGTCTGGGGACCCCAGATGTCTGCAAAAGTTTTCTATGCGGATTATGCAGATAATTAATTTTTTATGGTTGTTAAATCTGTAAATCTGTGGCTCCCTTTATATTTTAGAAATGGGGTCCTTAGAAAAGTGATTCATCCCATTTGGGGGTTCCTGGCATCAAAAAGTAAAAAAAAAAAACCTGTATTAGATGTTATGATTACAAATGGGAGGTCTAGAGCTACAAATAATTAGTTTAGCGTGTGCTATGTATTCGTATTAATTATTTTTTTGGCTGCCACAAGGTCTTTTTCCTTTTGTGAGACTCGACGTATTAAAGTTCCACAGGAATGGTGTCATTCTCTTCATGCGTGCCCTGAAATCGTTAAGCATCCAATAATGTATGTGTCTATGGAATATAAAAAGGCTTAGATCCTTTGTATGGCTTCCAGTGTACAGTAAATTGGCAGGGCACATCTTGAACTGATGCGAAAAGCTGTGATCCTCAACGTGCCTTTCCATTAGCACGCTGGTTTTCATTAATGAAGTGATCAGTTACTCTCTCCGTCTGTTTGCGTGGGAATAATTTTATAAAAGGCCATCAAATGTTTCTTTTTTTTTTTAGCTCAAATAGTTCTTTGGGGAATGACGATTGATTTTTTTTTTCATATCTAATTGTTCATACTTGTGATGTCAGCTAACTCTGCAAGTGGCGTACATTCATTCTGTTACTTAGACTGTCAGTATTACTTAAGAAATTAATTTTGACCACAGCTTATAAATTGAGACAGGATCTGCTTTTGACAGTTCACTTTGATGGGGAAAATGCTAAGCAATATAGTTCTGATAGGAGAAAATTTGTTCCTGCTGAGTTCCTCTCATCAACCATCAGACCTTCCTTGATGTTCCAAAAACTATCCAAACACACAGTCCATTAAAATGGCCCTTTAATGTTGAGTTACAAAGACCTTTGTAAAAAAAAAAATTTTTTTTATATATAAACAATGCAGTTGTCTATTGTGGCACAAGAGGCATCTATTTTAGTAGTTTACTGTACATGAAATGTGTGTATGAGGGTAAAGTGCGCTGATGGAGGTAGATCTTTAGGAATCTAGTTCTGATTTTGCCATTAGGGAAGAAGGAATTGCAGAGGAAATGAAAAGGGTCCTAGGACATATCTTCATGGAATGCCAGACAGTATGCCTGAGTTTAATCACTGGAAAAATGCTCCTCTCTTTCTTGCTTCTCTCTCCATGTCAGGTGTGTTTCATATCCGGCCACCTGACTTTTTTTGTTGTTGTATGATCTATATCCATGTTGTTGTTTAAGCATCACAGAAACACCAGATTTATTCTGATTCTGAAGAAAAAAGTTGCTTGCATTTATAAAATGATAAAAATGGGATTGTCCTTAACAATCTATGAGATAATGACTGTATATTTGGAAAAGTGTTGTTAAAATACAAAAAATATCAAAATAAGTTTTCAACTAAGGGTATGTCCTCCTGCACATTAAGCTTTAGTGCTAATTTAAGTGAGGTAAGTTTGAATCCGATGTTTTTCAGTATTGTTCACCCCTCTTTTCCCCATCATTTCCCAGTTTCTCTATACTATGCAATGACAAAATGGGAAAAAAGCCAAAAACAAATGTTTAATTGGATTATTCACTTGTATTACTAAGTCTGCACTGTGAAACTATGAATGTTTAGTGCAATTGCAGTCTATTTTTTTTTAATGATGCAGATGCTGGTTTTTGCTATTAATGTCTCAGGTATGTTTGTGTTTACTGTATAACAGAGGTCCACTAGTGAGGCCATGAAGACGTTTCCTTTTGTGGGCCAGTTCCTGGGAAGACTTTGTTGGAACCCATGTGTTATTGTGGATGGTAAATTTACGACTCTTCTAAACTCGGGGGTGTGTTTCCCATTTGAGACCAAGAAATGTGTCTGCATGGGCTGTGTATTTACACTAATTTTCCACTGAACCCTGTAGCGGCCTGCTGGGCATTTGTTCTGTTATTTGGCTCGCTTCCACTACTTCTCTCTCTCTTTCTCTGATCAACACTTTCCTTTGCTGAAATTTCATATCAGACCTGTTCTTCACATGCAGCCTTAAAAATGGTTCTAAAAAGTTGTGATTTATTGCAATAGCTCATGTTGTACTTTTTAGTCCATTATATACAGTGGGGTCCAAAAGTCTGAGACTAGCAAGAATGCTTCTGTTTATTTACTACAATCTTTATTATTAAAAAATGATATTATAAATTAATTAAAATGTATACATATTTTTGTCATAAATTGTTATTATCAGCATAACAATTTGAGTGAAGTGTTACACTGAAAAATTCACTGGAAGCAAGGAAATCTGCCTTTTTGTTCAAGATCACATGCTCAGTGTCACAAATGTGTTAATTTGATTACTGACATTGAAATAGTGCAGAATATTATTTTTTTGTTTTGTTTTACATCATATGGTTTCTTTACTTACAGTTGTTCGAAGATCTAAAACTTTTGTCTCTAGGTTTTAAGTTAGATTTTGAATCTCACTGTGATATCAGAGTTTAACCTTGTTTGTGCCTGATTATAAATGCATGCATGTCACAAATGAATAATGTGGCCATTTTCACATTTTATAAATGCCATTTTGTCCTGTGGTCTTGTTTATGTATGCTCAGAGAGGAGCCAGAGACTCCTGCTGCGGTGTTTGAGCTGTCTGTACAGTGCTGAGCCACTGAATGCTGTCGAACGAAAAGCCAACATGTGGATCAAGGTAAAGCCAACAACATTTCACCTCTTTACCAACCCTCAAGTATTTTGAATAGATAAATAAATTGCCAAAGGAGTATTATGAATTGATATCCTGACTGACAGACACAATAAAAATGTGGAATATATTGGTTGTTTAATTCAAAGTGTGAAGCAGGAACATTAATTATTTTATTAAAATTGTCATTAAAATGATAAAATCTTACTCATAAGAGTTTTAAAGCACATGCTTTAAATTTTCCGAGCCCTTTTGTGTTTGCAATGTACCAAATAAACGTCATACTGTACTCTTCCAGACCCCTACTTAAAACAGTTTTCAAACTGTCAAGAGTGTTTTAGAAATTCCCAGTGTACACTTTTATATTTAAAGAGATGTAATCAGGATTGGGAGATGAAAGGTGATAAAAAAAAAAAAACTAAAATAATTGTACTCTTTCAACTTTTTACAGAGTTCACACAGATGGTTTACCATAAGCAATACAGAACCCCTCGCATTTCTGCCAGATTCAAACGTGTGTGCATTCGTTTGATTATTTTTTTCATCTAATAAAACATAGCGCTAATTAAAGCAGGGCTTTTAAAGTAAACTTTTAATTTGCCAGATGTTTTTTGACCTATACGAAGGGAAGTGGAGTCAGAGGGAGGTGTGGGTTCTCTGTCAGGGGTTCAGACACGGTGTTTAATCTTACATTATTTATTTGCTTAGCTAACAATCCCTAGTGCAGCAGCAGTGTTTCTATGTATGGTTTGTTGGGGAAAGATATGGAACAAAAGACAGCGATTAGGACTTGCTTTGTGCAAGGATGTTACAGATTGTAGGCACGTGTGTATTTACTCAATAGTTTAAACATGGGAAGAGGAAGACAATCCCTTTTGTTTCCAAAAGAGTCTGACCTATAGAAGGTCCATAAGCTTGCTGTTTTTGTCTTTTGGTAGACTGGTCAGTCTCCTTCTGCGGATTTGTGTCAGAATTACACCATGATACTATGATAATTCCATGCTTTTTTGGATGTTTGAAGTACCATTTGAATTATCATATAAAAACAATTACTGAACAATGGTACCATTCCTCAGGTTTGATCACGCTAATCTGGAAGTATGTTTTCTGTTAAATGGTATATCACTTTCTGATTTGTTCTGTCTTGCTGTAACTAATTACGGTCCAGTGTCTTCTGTCTTTTTTCTTGTTGCGTTTTAGTAAATTGATTTGGTTTGATTTAATTTCTTTCTTCTCCCAGCCTGACATCTTGCTTCTGCCAGAAAGTTGATCTCTTATTTTTCCATTATCTTTTTAATGGTTTTAATGGACCGTGCTTTTTTCCATTTACTCCATCATTGTTTGTTTCAAGCGCTGTTTACTGTCACTGTCAATATGGAAAGACTCCCCCATCTGAAAAAGCCTTCATGTCGATCAGCATGGGTTACATCCATTCATTCCTTTTATTTATAAAGCACTTTACAACTGCACCTGCAGACCAAAGTGCTGTACAATCAACATACAGCTACATACAATCCAGCTAAGAACAACACATACTAGACCAACTCTTTAAAGGCTAATGACAATGACCAGCTTTAAAGGCGTTTATAGATGTAATCTCTCTGATCTCAGATGGCAGAGTATTACAAAGCCTTACAATATGAGGTTCATCCGGGATGATTCCATCTGACCCCTCAGAGCTTCAACGGCAGTAATGGACTGTATTCCTTTAGTTGCTCGTCATGATAAACAAACGGTCCTGTCATTCACAAAGTCAACTTGGTCGTGTTCTTCATGTGGGTGGTTTAGCTCAGGCCCCAGAAGAAGAGACCAAGAAGAATGACGATGCTTCCGCAGAGCCACGGAGAGACGTTTTGTCTGTCATTAATGGGCCTGTTGCCCATTCTTCTGTGATCCTTTGCTCTGGAGCGCCAGCTTGACTTTCTTTCTCCACATCAGAGAGACCAGACCATGTATAATGGCTTCAGGGCTTCTGGGGATCTGAAAGCTGTCCTCTGGGATACTTGTGTGGTCTTTTTAAGTACTGTACATTTACCTCTGCAGATGCATTTGAGAACTGTTTTAGGCTGACCTTCTATTTAATATCTCTGTCACTTTATCATTTGACATGTCTTAATTATTTTTTTTCTCTTTTCTTAAAGCCTCTAACCAGGATTAAATCTAAGGAATATACTTTAGCACGAAACCTCTCAACCGACATGAATAATTCCATAACTCTCATAATACATTTAAAATCTTCATAGATTTTTGTGTTTGCTACACTCTTTTATTAATAAAAAATTGAGATATTCCTTGAAATTTCAAATGTGAAAATAAAGAAAAATCTTTTCTTTTTTAAATCTTCATGCGTACATCGTTACATGAAATTCATAATAACATATAATCGGACAATTACCAGTATTAACATTGAACTCAGCTGATTTAAATGACTTTGAACCTATAACACATGACTGCTCAAAAACAGTCCAAATATATGAAACTCACATATAAATTTTCTAACAAAACATCAATATTACTGTGGGATGTTTTCAAACAAAATATATTCATTTTACTTGCATGAACTTTGACTTTCAGTTGAAAAAGATAGATTTTTCACACAGCAATGGTTCATCAAAAGGCAATAGATATTCATGTTTATCAACAAAATTCATCCCAAATGTGTGTGTGTGTGTGTGTGTGAAATGGGAGGAAGCTAAATATATTTTACTAATGTATTTTGAGACCGATCTAACTCCTAGATCAGGGGTGTCAAACTCTATTCCTGGAGGGCCGGAGCCCTGCAGAGTTTAGATTCAACCCTAATTATGCACACCTGATCCAACTAATCAAGTCCTTCAGGCTTATTTGAAAACTACATGGTATGTGTTGGACCAGGGTTGGAACAGAACTCTGCAGGGCTCCGGCTCTCCAGGAATTGAGTTTGACACCCCTTTCATAGTTTAAAAAAAAAATGGATCAGCATGCAAAAGTATGGTTCCCATACTAAAAACTATTTTATAATTTTTTTTATTCATCTCTTTCAGTTCAAAATGGACCTGAACACACTTAAATCATGTGGCATATCTGTGAGGCGTGCAAATTAATTTTTAGCATTAATAGTTAAATAATATATGCAGTTTGCTTGTTTGTTTAAAGATCTTTAAGCTACAAGAGTCACATGATGCCTTGATCATAAAACATCTGATAAGTCAATATTTGCAATATGTTAGGCATATTGTAAGTTGTTTTGATTTAGCTTGGGCATCCACGTGGTTTAGTACTGTCTAAAGTACCACTTTGAAGAACAAAAAAAAAATCATCATGACCGATGCCATGTTTTTCCACCTCAAGGTAGAGAAAAAAAACCGAGAGAATGTAAAAAGGCTGTATTTTATTGGCTTGCGCTGTAGCCACAGCCCAGCTTAGAGTTAAGTGTGATCTGCAGTGTGTTTTTGCTGTTCAGATGGTAGTAATTGAGCCTCTTTGGGTCTGGAGGACATCTTAGCATACTGTAAACCTAAAGAAACCACATGGCCCCACCGCATGCAGACATGTTTTCTGTCAAGGCTTAACCCTTGTGCTTTTTGATAAACAGACAGGCCTTGCCACCCGATTCCATTGTCCTTTTTACTTTCTATCTTATTATTTGTGTGCAACATGGGGATGTTTTTATGATGAGCAAATAGTTGTCCAATCATACACAAATCAAAAGAAATTCATAGTTATTGAAGTTTGATGGTGTGTGATTACAGTTTTACCATAAACGGAGGGTGTTTAAAAGCTGTTGTCAGCATTGTTTTATGTTATGTATCTCTTCCGAGCAGAATCTGTTGTGTCATCTGATCTCGGAGGAGGAGGGAAGTGTAGCTCATGCTACAGTAAAAAATGCTGGATTAACCCCGAAGCGTTACCACTTGGAGGCTCTTCAGAAGGTTTGGTAGTCACTGTTCAGAATCTTGACATGTTAACTAATAATGGCATGGTTAGTGTGATAGAAAAGCTGGACAATTTAGCTGAACGAATTCTTCTTTTTCAGTCTATGATTTTTTATATAATTTATTTTCTTTCCCCCAATCACAGGAACTGTTGTTTCAACTAAAGAGCCTATATTGCCAAGTATATTGCAAGGAGTAAAATACAGTGAAAAGTTTAGTTTATAAATGAAAAATGGAGTGATGCAAACAAATCGTAAAATTGATTCAATTAAACATTTTGAAATCATCAAAAGTCATGAAAATGAAGTATTTTTGCTTCTGAAGTTTAATTTGACATTTGAAATTCGAGAAGGGTTTGTAAAACTAGTCAAGTAATGTGCTGTTGAGAAATGGACAAATAAAATCCTTTTTTAAAAATGGTTCGCAATGTAATCTTACATTGTCAACAAAAACATTGTGAATACATTGTAAATCTTAGATATATCTCTCAGCCCTGAATGTATTTTTTACTCTCATTTACCTGAGAAATTGGCTGCTCGTATGTGACTTCATAGACGAAACACATCAGAAACTGAAACCATGTTAAAGTTTGAAGCGATTTTTAAATTGCATTAAATTGATAAAGTTAAAGGTAAACCGTTGTCAAGTCAAGCTGTCACTTTCAGGTGGTGTCATTGATGACAGAGGAGGTCATTAAAAGCTGTGATGGCTCGTCAAACACAGCCAGGTAATTAAACCTTAACATCTGGACATACATATACATTTGCTTGTGTCTTACACCTGAAAAATATATTTTCTCTAACATTCAAACAGTTTGTTCAGTTAGTATTATTCAGAACTATAAAATTGTTTGTGACAAATAATCCACTCTAACACTTCAGTTATTTATTTTTATTATTTATTAATTTTTTTGGAGGTGTTTAAATGGGAATATTCGCAATGTAATCTTACATTGTCAACAAAAACATTGTGAATACATTGTAAATCTTAGATATATCTCTCAGCCCTGAATGTATTTTTTACTCTCATTTACCTGAGAAATTGGCTGCTCGTATGTGACTTCATAGACGAAACACATCAGAAACTGAAACCATGTTAAAGTTTGAAGCGATTTTTAAATTGCATTAAATTGATAAAGTTAAAGGTAAACCGTTGTCAAGTCAAGCTGTCACTTTCAGGTGGTGTCATTGATGACAGAGGAGGTCATTAAAAGCTGTGATGGCTCGTCAAACACAGCCAGGTAATTAAACCTTAACATCTGGACATACATATACATTTGCTTGTGTCTTACACCTGAAAAATATATTTTCTCTAACATTCAAACAGTTTGTTCAGTTAGTATTATTCAGAACTATAAAATTGTGACAAATAATCCACTCTAACACTTCAGTTATTTATTTTTATTATTTATAAATTTTTTTGGAGGTGTTTAAATGGGAATATACATACTATGGCAACGGCATGTGTTGCCTTGGTCACATGTCCTCAGATGTCTCCTCTCATTGGAGCTCTGTTGAAGCATTCCATGTTGTGTGGCTCTTCCTGTCTGAATCAAGAGTTCATTAAGGAAATCAATGAGGCCTTGATCAGGTGAGTGTCGTTACAATGCAACACTGTCTTTTGTCAGCTGTGACCAGCATTTAATGACAGCACACAGATGATGTTTATGTGATTTCTGTCTTTCTCCTATGCAGTAAGAGGCTTGTGTTGGAGGATGAGGCCATAGTGAACCTGTGGTGTTATAGTCCCACCTGTCTGGAGGGGGCAGCAGTGAGCTTGCTGGAATCTGTGCTCTCTGACCATGAAACAATGACACAGAGTCTGAACAAACATGTTAATGACTCATTACTGGTAAGCTTGATTTCTTCTATATTCACATTTTAAAACAGTTTTTCTTTTAGATTGATTCCAAAAGATTGAGACCATTTTAAATGTATGACTTAAACCTGAAAATAAACGTGTGTTCAAATGAAATTTCTTCTCTTCTCTTCTCTTCCTCTCTCTCTCTTTTTCCTTCCTTCTTTCTTTCTTTCTTTCTTTATTTCCTTCCTTCCTTCTTTCTTTCTTTCTTTCTTTCTTTCTTTCTTTCTTTCTTTCTTTCTTTCTTTCAGGGTTAGTTCACCCCAAAATGAGAATTTTGTCATTGTTCCAAACCCGCCTGTGGTGTTATAGTCCCACCTGTCTGGAGGGGGCAGCAGTGAGCTTGCTGGAATCTGTGCTCTCTGACCATGAAACAATGACACAGAGTCTGAACAAACATGTTAATGACTCATTACTGGTAAGCTTGATTTCTTCTATATTCACATTTTAAAACAGTTTTTCTTTTAGATTGATTCCAAAAGATTGAGACCATTTTAAATGTATGACTTAAACCTGAAAATAAACATGTGTGTTCAAATGAAATTTCTTCTCTTCTCTTCTCTTCCTCTCTCTCTCTTTTTCCTTCCTTCTTTCTTTCTTTCTTTCTTTATTTCCTTCCTTCCTTCTTTCTTTCTTTCTTTCTTTCTTTCTTTCAGGGTTAGTTCACCCCAAAATGAGAATTTTGTCATTGTTCCAAACCCGTAAGACCTTCGTTCATTTTCGGAACACAAATTAAGATCTCCATGTGACAGGGCTGGGTGATATGACGATATTATCGTATATCGACGATGTCTCGTAAGTATCGCGATGTCGATGTCAACAGTCAGGTAACAGATGATTATCGACATTTTCGGGAAAAAATGACAAATGATAAACCTAGTAAGTTGTAAAAAATATTTTAGCATAATTTATTTAAGAATTCTTCTCCCCCGAGTTACATCTTCCGCCATTTTGAAGAGTACCCAAGAGCGTAATCGACGTAATCAGCGTTGTTTACGATCGGGGGGCAAGCGTGCGCATGAACGTAATCTTCGTAATCAGCGTTGTTTACACTTAGGAGAAAGCGTGCGTATGCATTATGATACTCTAAAAAGGCAGATGATGTAACTCGGGGGAGAAGAATTGTTGAATAAATTGTTATTTTTGTTTTCTTTGTGCTCAAAAAGTATTCTCGCAGCTTCACAAAACTGAAGTTGAGCCACTGATGTCACATGGACTGTTTTACTGATGTCCTTACTACGTTTCTGGACCTGGGAACATTACAGTTGTATTGCTGTCTATGCAGGGTCAGACAGCTCTCACATTCCTTCAAAAATATCTTTATTTGTTTTCCGAAGATGAACGAAGGTCTTACGGGTTTGGAACGACATGAGGGTGAGTAATTAATGACAGAATTTTCATTTTTGGGTGAACTAACCCTTTAAGCAAAAAGAGGGACAAGATGTGAATAAAATCATTAAACTTTTTTTTTTTCTTCTTTCACTTTTGAACTTTTTTCTAATAATATAGCTCACAAGAAAAACTTTTTTTATCATAAAAATGCAAGACTAAAGCATTTTCACTAGTGGTATCAGACTTTTTGATCCCACATATTGCATATTGCCAAAATATTAATAGCCATAACTCTTAAAATTGTTAAACGAATATATCAGCACCTTAAAGCAACAGCCCATCATCTTGTTTATCAGCAACAGTTCACACTGTTATGTTTGATGGCAACTAGTACCACATGTCATAATATTTGCTTCGGTTGCTAATTAATTTGGTGCTGCTGTGTTGACAGTAAAACTATGGTAGTAAAGAAGGAATTTGATGGTCTGTTGTTCATATGGTACACAGCAGGTGAAGATTAACGGCTTTCTCATACACTGGCCTCTTTTTGAGAACAGACACAAATAGCATGACGTGAAGCAGGTCCATGGTCCATGCACATCTTTATGAGGCTGTTTCATAACTACATGAAGAAACTTAAAATCAAGACCTCATTTATGTGTCTGTATAAGGACGTCATTCAGTCGTCATGTAGCTGATTTTTGAGGCTCGTTATGGTCTGTTTAGTGTCTCATTTCTGAGCAGTACAGACAGGTAAAATGACACCCAAATGCAGCTGCATTCAACTCTTATTTGTTTGTGCTTGAGAGCAGATTGAACTCTGCGGTGTGTTTACGTTGCAGGAACAAGTTGTTTAAACCGCAATCAAAAAGGGGAAACCAGAAATTAGTTTCACATTTCTGTTTTCATCCACCTTCCTCGAAGCTTAGATCTAATAACAATAAACAGCATCTTCCAGCATCCCACTGCCAGAAAGAGGATGTTTTTGCCATGCTGTAATTGACCCTCCCTGAAGTGTTAGGAGAAGGTATGGATGAGTGTTCGGAAAGCCCATCTGTTTTCACTAGGGAGAGAAAGCTTCAGCCTTCATAACAAATAAGAGCAAACAGCGCTTTCCTATGCCTCTGCTTATGTCACATGGAAAATTGGCAGAGCAGTGCTAACAATACGTTATTTGCACATGTGTGTGTCCGTTTATATTGGAGAAGGAGAAAGAGTATGTGCTTTCCGTATGTAATAAAACGTAATTTTGTGGCATAAATATGGAAATAATTAGTAATTTTTGTCTTATTGTTTACTATATTTATTTGCTTGGTCAGTGTCATTGTGGGTTTTGGTTCTTTTGCTGTTTTAGGCTGTAAAGACCTCTAAAATAACTGAAATCATTTGGTGAAGTGATATAGACATGTATTGCGGTCAAGACCTGCCTGGAACTACTTTAGAAACCTGAAAATAATTGCACACCTTAGAACGTACGTCAACCAGTCAGATTCAAGTATTCAACAGCCCCATAATATAATATAACATAATATAATAATCTATCAGTGATTTATTAGTACTGGCCAATATTATTTTTATTATTTTTCTGATTTAAGCTGCTATTCGAAGCTTTAAAAGAGTACTAAATGGTTATCCATCTCTTAAAATGTTCTGATGTCTTATTTGAAGCATGTACAAATGTATGGATTAAATCATTAGTGTATTTTTTTTTAATGGAAACAACAGTATATATTTATTATAACAGCCATTTTTTTTATAAATATTGATTTAAAACGTCCATGTTGCTGCATCCCAAATGATTACTTATTAGAATTTAAAATGTTAAAGTAAATCAGGCCGTTTTACCTACTCCACAGCATATTCGTTTCAGAAACAATGTGAGATTATATGTGTGTGTGTGTGTGTGTGTGTGTGTGTGTGTGTGTAGGAATGTGCTGACAGAGATTGATGAGAACCTGGCCGTGAGAGCCCTCATACAGGTTTTCACTGCCTGCTTCCTCCAGAGACTGACTGGACAGAAACCCCAGGTACAAGCTGACTTCATGAAGATGAATGTGTAATTTCTCTGGCACTAGCTGCACCAAACTGAATCGCAAAAATAATGATCGTTTCCAAAATTATGTCCTACAGAGATCCTACAGAGGCCATAAACAAGAAAAAACGAGAGAGAAATAGTAATGCATAGTCTGTGGAGTTTCATATGATTGACAAGTCTGTTTGGTGCCACTAGTGGCTCTCAAATGACACAAAAGCGGTATTTCAAATTTGGAGTTGTGATATCTCTGTGCATATATGATTTGTAGGATCGTCTACAACTCAGAGCCTTCTTCCCAAACGTGACGCCCTGTTTACTTGCTCCTTTACTGACAGCACCATCAGGTACAGCACCTCTTACTATCTCTGAGAAATTCAGACCTTCACTTAACAAAAGAACATCATTTATGAAGATTGTCTAATGATATGGTGCCTCAGTAGCACATATATTTGTAGGGCAGAGAGGTGTAAGCGGTGTGACTTTTTATATAAGTTGACCTCTAGTCAAGTAGAAGTGAAATATTTCAGCGTGTATATCAAGAAAAATGTACTTTTATCAAAAACTATAAGGGTAAACTGTGTCATGTTAAGAAGTAAGTTGAATTGTTATATATAAATGATTTACATAAAAAATAAAACATGGCCTTAAATTATTTTTTTTATACAAAGCAATTTAATTCTGTGCAGCAAAAAGGCTTTGTATGAGATTGCTGTGTATTATTCACATTTTCTGAAAAAATATTCATAAACCAGCCTGGAAAATTTAGCAGCACAACTGGCACACTTTACCCCACAGCTATCAATTCTGGGGCATATTTTTTTTATTATAGATATTGAGCTTTTCAATATATATTACATGAAAATATATGACAAGAAAATATTAATATATGACAAAGAAAAGAGAACCAGCGAGAACAACAACAAACAACAAAAAACTCAACATGGCTCAGAATTACACAAATGTTGTAGAAAGCAATGCCTACTAATAAATAATACTGAAAATAACACATTCAAAAGAAATTAAACATAAATACTTAAGGATTATAAGATAGCACTATTCCTTGAAAAAAGATTTCATTTAAACATAAATGGCTGATCTTTAACCTGAAAAATCACCAGGTTTTATGATTTGGACATACTTTTGAACCTTAATCAGTTTGCTTTGACATAAAATTAATTTACTTGCCATATAAAAAATACGTCCATTGTTTTCATTGCTTTAAATAGTTTCTTAGCATGAAAAACAAATTGTTTTTCTCATGCATGTCAGTCACAGGCAGCCGTATGAAGGGCCATTTCTAAATATATGGTCATAGGAGAGAAATTGTGCATGTTTCCTAGAGTAAAGGGAGACAGAGTTACATAGTGTAGTCTAATTATATCAGATCGCTAGCAAACTACAATACTTTTACTCGGACACCAGCCACACCCCTTTTTATTCAAAATTATTACCTCACTGTGACTGAAATTGACTCAGTATTGTCTCAGCGGGTTGCTAGAGATTAATTTGAATCCTTCATCCTAAACCTTCACCATCTAAACGTCTCCAAAGCCTGGCCTTATCTCCCTCCCTCCATCAGAGCAGTCCCAAACAAACAGGCTCCTTCCTCCTGTACCCACCCTGCCCGCCTCAGTCCGGTCCTCTGATATCTATCTCTGGCTTGGCTCCCAAAGGACCTGGGGCTCGTCAGTGCCTCCTGAACTCCAGAGGATATCCTCACAATGCCACCTATTCTATGACCAGCACAACAGAAGAATAGCCTGCTGGGCCAGGGGCTCTTTTTAAGATTATTTGTTTGCACTGGTTCAATTGTCATTGTACATGGAATGATTGACGTGAAGGGGGACCTTTGTCTCCGAAAAGGAGACTCATGAATGCTGGAGCTTAGTTGTTTACCTCATCAGGCTAAAGATAGGCCATGATTCTTAAAGAGACAGTTCATCCAAACATGAACATTTTCTCATCATTTGCTCACTCTCGTGTCATTCCAAACCCAGATTTGTGAATGGACAGAAAATTTTATTTGAGTTGTATTTTTTGAGAATCACTTTAATCTGTCTGTTTTCATTTTCACTCAGAAATATTCACAAAAGTCTACTTTAATATATTTTACAATATATTAAACTATTCAGTCTTCAGTATCAGTATTCTTCAGAAATCATTTTAATGTGATCAAGAAACATTTATTATTATTATTATCAATGTTGAATACAGTTGTGATGCATAATATTTTGTGGAAACATTATACATTAGATAATTCTTGACTGTTCATCAACAAATGAACATTTTGTCATGATTTACTTGTTGCTCTAAACCACTTTTTTTTTTTCATATAATAGTCAATGGGGTCCATTGTTGTTTTATTATATTTATTGAAAATTTGGACTAAACATAAATATACAGTGTTAAAAATGTTTTAAAAGAAATACGATATAATAATATGAATGATAGTATGGCAGATGGCAACAGTTCTTGAGGTAAGTTTGGTCAGGAACATTTCTAAGGCTTAGAGAAGGGTCAGTTCATTTCAACTTGAGATTTGTTATCAGTTGCTAAGTTCACCTCATCCACCTGGAAATCAATTTCAAAAGTGTCTCATTTCTACATTTCTCATTTCACCCCCTTTCAGAGGTTCCCAGGGAAGCCTGGCTGGATCATCTGAGCTGGATCAGAAGTTTACTTCAGAGCGTGATGGAGAATGAGGAGGCGGGGGGAGATGTCAGGTGAGATGAGCTTCAAGACACCCTCCTCTTAATTTCTCTCTTATTGTCAGCAGTGCTGTTACTACAGAGATTTCCCACACAGTAATCCTATATGTTTCTAGCCAGCTCAGGCTTGATGCAGGTGGGTATTTGGACACAGATGACCGAATAAACAGTGATACTGTAGGTTTTCACCTGAAGTACATAGCTCCTTTTCAAAAATCACTGTCCAGGAAAAAGTGTCTGTCCACACCAAGAAGTAGTCCTGAATGACAAATGGTTGTAATTCATGAACCCCCTTGTGCTGCAGATCTCTTCACTCTCTCTTCAAAGTCCATTTATAATATATGTTCATAAGTATAAAATGTTTTTCATTTAGCCTGAAAATGAAAATGGCCTGATGCATGTGTGTCGTGTACAGTTCTAGGAAAATATATGCATTGTAAGCATTCTATGCAGTGAGAGTGTCAGCTGCAGGTGTCATCAGGATATAAACCAGAACTTGAGAATTCACTGTCTCAAGAAGCTCTTTAGTTTGAGCAGCCGTCAGTGCAAATCTCTCTTTCTCTGTTTAAACTCACGCAGCCTTCTTGTTTCTCCAGCTCTCTTCATACTGTAAGCCATATGTATCAGTAAATAATTGTTAGGTTCTGTCTTTGTGTGTTTGGGTGGATGGATGGTGATTTTCCAGGGCGTATCAGGCTGTCTTTGAGGCTTGGTTCCTGCTGGTGCAGTGTGGGTTTTGGGTGGACACAGCTGCTGAGCTGCTTGTTCTGGCAGCGCCTGAGAACGCCGATTCGCTGCTGTGGCTTCTGACGTTCTTCCACCACCCCACCAACAGAGGGCACCAGAGGTCCCAACAAACCGTAAGAGATCTAATAATGGCTCTGAAGTCAGTTAACCTTAGGTCACAAGTTAAAAACAGCAAAGTGAAGCAGACTGGAAAATTACTGATGGCTTCCTCCTCTTTGTTTTAATCTCAGGCAGTGGCCAGAGAAGCCTGGACTCATCTAAGGATGCTGTTTCTCACTCGTCCTCCCCCTCCCAGACACCTCAGTGCTGTGAAAGAGCTCCTGTCCTCCTCCCTTTCAGCAAACCTCGTTTTGCATTTGTTTTTAAACTTCACCGTCTTTTCCCACGGACCTGTTAGCATTATCATTGAAATAACTGACAAGGTGAGGTCTTCACTGATTCAGATTCAACACATAGTAAAATAACATTCACCTCCTCAAATGCCAAGGGTTTGCTCATGCGAACCCGGTGGCCTATTCAAGGCGAGACGAGGGCTGTGTGCAGCCCAATTAAGTTGTCATCAGTGCCTTTATTGACCCTGCGCTAGTTCTTGTGGTATGCAGAGAACAATAGAATAAAATAGGCTGACGGCTGTTTACGACACATTTAAAATCAAAAGCGTTTCAGTCTCTCTCACACACTGTACAAAAGCAAGTTTACACCCAACAGCTTAAATGCTGAGAGCTGCTCCTTTATGGCAAGGTAATGAGTTTTAATAAAGTCACCTCAGCTTTGTTTACATACAGTACAGGTATAGTTTACCCAAATATCATAATTTTCACACCCATGTTGTTCTAAAACCATACGATTTTATTCTGTGGAACACAAAATGTGATATTTTGAATAATCTTCATGCAGGTGTTTCCTATTCAATCAAAGTTCATAGACACCACGGGCTGTCAAGCTCTGACACTGGCAAACAGAAACCAAAAAGCATCATAAAAGTAATTCAAATGGCTTGTCCAAGTCTTATGAAAACATGTGATGGAATTGTGTGAGGTTTAGACTGAGATTTAAATAATTATTCACTATTGGCAATCTTTCCCCCAGAAAGCTTTTAACTCAAGTCAACGAGTTTGAACTGGTCCAAAAGAATGATTCATCGATTGAAAAAAAAAAAAGAATGATTCAATGATCTGATCACAGTGATTCTTGTGTTAACAGCTCATTGGAAGTGGAAAATTTCCATTGAATAATTTATCACTGATACTAGTGGGAAAAAAAAAAAAAAACGTGCTTTGGTAATCATACTTTCAGTTGCTAAGTTCACCTCATCCACCTGGAAATCAATTTCAAAAGTGTCTCATTTCTACATTTCTCATTTCACCCCCTTTCAGAGGTTCCCAGGGAAGCCTGGCTGGATCATCTGAGCTGGATCAGAAGTTTACTTCAGAGCGTGATGGAGAATGAGGAGGCGGGGGGAGATGTCAGGTGAGATGAGCTTCAAGACACCCTCCTCTTAATTTCTCTCTTATTGTCAGCAGTGCTGTTACTACAGAGATTTCCCACACAGTAATCCTATATGTTTCTAGCCAGCTCAGGCTTGATGCAGGTGGGTATTTGGACACAGATGACCGAATAAACAGTGATACTGTAGGTTTTCACCTGAAGTACATAGCTGCTTTTCAAAAATCACTGTCCAGGAAAAAGTGTGTCTGTCCACACCAAGAAGTAGTCCTGAATGACAAATGGTTGTAATTCATGAACCCCCTTGTGCTGCAGATCTCTTCACTCTCTCTTCAAAGTCCATTTATAATATATGTTCATAAGTATAAAATGTTTTTCATTTAGCCTGAAAATGAAAATGGCCTGATGCATGTGTGTCGTGTACAGTTCTAGGAAAATATATGCATTGTAAGCATTCTATGCAGTGAGAGTGTCAGCTGCAGGTGTCATCAGGATATAAACCAGAACTTGAGAATTCACTGTCTCAAGAAGCTCTTTAGTTTGAGCAGCCGTCAGTGCAAATCTCTCTTTCTCTGTTTAAACTCACGCAGCCTTCTTGTTTCTCCAGCTCTCTTCATACTGTAAGCCATATGTATCAGTAAATAATTGTTAGGTTCTGTCTTTGTGTGTTTGGGTGGATGGATGGTGATTTTCCAGGGCGTATCAGGCTGTCTTTGAGGCTTGGTTCCTGCTGGTGCAGTGTGGGTTTTGGGTGGACACAGCTGCTGAGCTGCTTGTTCTGGCAGCGCCTGAGAACGCCGATTCGCTGCTGTGGCTTCTGACGTTCTTCCACCACCCCACCAACAGAGGGCACCAGAGGTCCCAACAAACCGTAAGAGATCTAATAATGGCTCTGAAGTCAGTTAACCTTAGGTCACAAGTTAAAAACAGCAAAGTGAAGCAGACTGGAAAATTACTGATGGCTTCCTCCTCTTTATTTTAATCTCAGGCAGTGGCCAGAGAAGCCTGGACTCATCTAAGGATGCTGTTTCTCACTCGTCCTCCCCCTCCTAGACACCTCAGTGCTGTGAAAGAGCTCCTGTCCTCCTCCCTTTCAGCAAACCTCGTTTTGCATTTGTTTTTAAACTTCACCGTCTTTTCCCACGGACCTGTTAGCATTATCATTGAAATAACTGACAAGGTGAGGTCTTCACTGATTCAGATTCAACACATTGTAAAATAACACTCATGTCCTCAAATGCCAAGGGTTTGCTCATGCGAAAAACGGTGGCCTATTCAAGACTAGACTAGGGCTGTGCGCTGCCCAATTAACTTGTCATCAGTGCCTTTATTGACCCTATGCTAGTTCTTGTGGTATGCAGAGAACAATAGAATAAAATAGGCTGACGGCTGTTTACGACACATTTAAAATCAAAAGCGTTTCAGTCTCTCTCACACACTGTACAAAAGCAAGTTTACACCCAACAGCTTAAATGCTGAGAGCTGCTCCTTTATGGCAAGGTAATGAGTTTTAATAAAGTCACCTCAGCTTTGTTTACATACAGTACAGGTATAGTTTACCCAAATATCATAATTTTCACACCCATGTTGTTCTAAAACCATACGATTTTATTCTGTGGAACACAAAATGTGATATTTTGAATAATCTTCATGCAGGTGTTTCCTATTCAATCAAAGTTCATAGACACCACGGGCTGTCAAGCTCTGACACTGGCAAACAGAAACCAAAAAGCATCATAAAAGTAATTCAAATGGCTTGTCCAAGTCTTATGAAAACATGTGATGGAATTGTGTGAGGTTTAGACTGAGATTTAAATAATTATTCACTATTGGCAATCTTTCCCCCAGAAAGCTTTTAACTCAAGTCAACGAGTTTGAACTGGTCCAAAAGAATGATTCATCGATTGAAAAAAAAAAAATGAATGATTCAATGATCTGATCACAGTGATTCTTGTGTTAACAGCTCATTGGAAGTGGAAAATTTCCATTGAATAATTTATCACTGATACTAGTGCAGTACAGGTATAGTTTACCCAAATATCATAATTTTCACACCCATGTTGTTCTAAAACCATACGATTTTATTCTGTGGAACACAAAATGTGATATTTTGAATAATCTTCATGCAGGTGTTTCCTATTCAATCAAAGTTCATAGACACCACGGGCTGTCAAGCTCTGACACTGGCAAACAGAAACCAAAAAGCATCATAAAAGTAATTCAAATGGCTTGTCCAAGTCTTATGAAAACATGTGATGGAATTGTGTGAGGTTTAGACTGAGATTTAAATAATTATTCACTATTGGCAATCTTTCCCCCAGAAAGCTTTTAACTCAAGTCAACGAGTTTGAACTGGTCCAAAAGAATGATTCATCGATTGAAAAAAAAAAAAGAATGATTCAATGATCTGATCACAGTGATTCTTGTGTTAACAGCTCATTGGAAGTGGAAAATTTCCATTGAATAATTTATCACTGATACTAGTGGGAAAAAAAAAAAAAAACGTGCTTTGGTAATCATACTTTTGAGTTAGAAGTCATAATGAGATTTTAAAAGTTTGAAAAGACTTTCTAAATTTCGGTTTTCTTTTGATATAATAGACGTTTTCTCAATTGTTTTTTGTCGTAATTTAGATTTTGTAATTAGATGTTGTAATTACGACTTTTTAAATAATAATTTCAATTTTTTTCATAAATGTAACATTTGTCATAATTCGTTTTTTTTTTTTTACTTTTTATGCCATAATTATTACCTGGTACTTCATAATTTCAACTTTCATTATTGTCGTTATTATGATTTACTAAATAATTATTTATTTTTCTTATGTGGCAGAAATGGGCTTCCATAAGATTTTCTCTGTCTTCCATTTTTTCCACCTTGTGAATCATCTTGTGTGACCTGCACCCTACAAAATTAAAACTTTTTATAGAAAAATATTATGAGGCTCAATCCTGTATGAGAATTTTAAGAAAAAGGTTTTAAATTAGCACCTTTAAAAAATTCTTCTCTGTGTTCCACTGAAAAAAATAACAGCATATAGGGTTTGGAGTATGAATAATTCATTTAATTGGCTCATCTCAATAACTGGTCTAGTGGAAATTGTTATCCAAATGTGTGTGTCTTGTGATGCTGGCAGGTGCTGACTGAGGCCGCTGTGAAGCGCAAGGCACTGTGGATCCTTGCCTCAATACGCTGCAGACTAAACAGTGCTGCTACGCGGGATGACAGGGTTCATTCCAGGCTGAGGACTCTTCAGGACACCCTCCTCTAAACCTGAGAGCCTCACATAAAAAACCCTAGCTTCGAGCGTTCGAAACTATTTATTAGGACAAGGAATCCTGGCGTGGCTCAACTGGGTGGGACGATATGGTATTTATAGAGGAGAAGCCCAGCTGCCGTTTTAAACTTTAAAAGCAGTGGGTGTTCTCCCCCTAAACCCAAGAGGGGCCTCCGCACTTGATGTATTGAGCCAAATAAAATAACACATGTATTTCTATCTGTGTGTTTGGATGACATCAAACATGAATCGGAGAAAGTAAATTACCAGGGATGTGACTGCTGTCAGATCTGCGGTTGTATTTCCTGAGTGTTTGGACTTGGAGTCTTTGTTGTTTGACTGCGGAGCTCCATCTAGCTAACACGCCGTTTGTCTTTGCTTACTGTCCTCCCACACACTCTTTTGACAGGAGAGCATGTCGGAGTCCTTCTCACTACATGAACACTCACATCTGTGTGTGTGTGTGAACTCCCAGCACAGGGCCTCTTGAATAGTTTAGTCTCTGTGCACTGTACTTTCTAGACTCTATCATCACTAGTGCTTCTCCGTGGGTCTCTGTCTCCCAGTAGGGCCATTTCCTTGGAGCATTTTCCCTATTCGGACCACTCAAGCATGTTTATCACTCAAAATTGGGTCATACTGCATTTATGGCCTTTCTAAATTATAAGAATATCACTATTCTCTTTTGAAGTGCAGTTAAATTAGATTTAAAGGAATAGTTTACCCAAAATGAAAATGTTGAGAATTTACTCATCAGGCTTTCCAAAATGTTGTTTCATTGGAACTGATTTGAAGAAATTTAGCATTACATCATTTCTCACCAATGGATTCACAGGGTGAGAGACCAAACAGCTGATAGAAGCATCACAATTATCCTCAAGTAATTCACATAAATCACAACTCCATCAATTATGTCTTGTGAAAAGCAGCATGTTTGTAAGAACCAAATCCATCATTAAGGCATTTTAACTTTAAATGGTCATTTCTGGCCAAACTATAAGGCCATAATTTATAACACTTCTTTCAATGAAAAAGTCCATCCCCAATTTTAGCCAAAAGCAACGGTCTAAATTTCTCCAAATTTGAAATCTGTTCTGATGAAAAAACTAACTTATCTACATCTCGGATGGCCTGAGGGTGAATACATTTTCAGCAAGTTCTCATTTTTGGGTGAACTATTCCATTAATACTAGTATAACTGCAACTAGTTATATTCCTAGTTACTTAATATTTATTATTTGTTGAACAAATAAATGGCTATTATATAGAACCACAATTCTAACAAAGAAAATGTCACAGAAATGTTGCTGAATGTGTGGTGTTGTAAAAACACCAACTGTGAGGATAAGGTGACGTTTAGTGTGCAAACATAGGTCATCAGCACATATTTCTACAACAAACATTTTTTGCTATCTGATCTCTGGGCCTCTGGAACTTGACGGTGGGCACGGGGTGAACAGGTTCAGAAAATGCTGACATTCAGGTAGACTTCAGAATGACACATACATTTGTGTACAGTTTTTGTTTTTATTTCTGACAATACAAAATTACATTTTAGTCTTTATGTCTTCTAGCTTAAATGTGCAATGATTTTTTTTGTTTGTTTTTTGAATAGTCCATTCATCGTTTTCTCTGAGCATCAGTGAGCAGTAGACAGTCAGATCCTGCTTGAATTCCCCGAGTTAAACATGTGACTGAAGACCAGACAGATCTGAAACCTGCAAAAGACAAGAGCCAGTCAGTCCTGGTCATAACATCAGAAATCATGTATGAAGGCAAGTTTATTTATATAACACTTCAGTCACAAAGGAAGTTCACATTTACATAAAAAGGATTTAAAAATGTAATGGTAACAGATGCAAAGGAAATAAAAATGTATTAAAATAATTTCTTATTTGATTTAAAATGTTTTAAGAATAAATTAGTATCATACTTGTCTTCAAATGCAGCAAAGATATTAGATTCTTGTTTGGAATATGAACGTCTTCTATTTTAATGTGTCTGAACTCTGAACCCCTTGTTTTTATTTGGGTGTTTTTTGCATGATTTTAAATACAATTTATTTTTAAATTAAAAACATCTTTTTTAGTTATCTATAACTTTTCAGTTGGCCATGAAGTGACAAATCAAAATTAGCATCCATCCATCCTTCTATCCATCCTTTCTCAATTAATACAAATAATTAATCTGCATGCATAAAACAATAAAATTCTATTTAAAATAGTTTTAGACGAGAATAATATATCCAACTATCCCCAATGTTTTTGTGTTTGTCATTTTAATAACTTATTTCAGACAGTTAGCAAGGCAACATTTCACATTTTTAAGTTTGTCTTCAAATGTATATTTTCAGCTTCATTTCAATGAACAGAAACTATTTTTGAAATAGTTTCACTTTTATTTAACAATAACATGTATTCTTTTCACAAGTCGTCTCCAAGCTAGTCACACTTAAATTGTACTGAGATGCCTTTGTGTGGATGAGCCTGAAGAAACAGAGATGAGTTTGGGGTCTGTGGACCAGACTCCTGTTCCTGCTGAACTGAGCCAGTGTTTCTGCAGTACTGTAATCAGCTCAGTAGGCACGGGAGGCCAGGTCCATCTATCTATCACACGCTCACATATGATTCACGTTCAGCATGGGCCACTTGATGGAAGGATCAGATATGGGATAATATGCTTCAGCTGAAGGTGCTTAGCACTTCATTTCCCACAAAATATCTCCTAATGACATTTTAAATACAGCCCGTGCAACTAACTCCATTTTTACTAGCCATGGATGGTAATGCATCTTTAAACAGCTTCTAAATATAGTCATTTATGGCTAGCTTCTCCTTAGCTACATATTTAACTCCTACATCTGTCATGACTTAGAAGACGGCATGCTGGCCGTACACTAACTCGATCTGCAGAGGTCAAGCACAGCTTCCCATCTCAATTGCTGTCTTTCATATTTCACCCATCAAAGCTAAAAGTGGAGCTGTTTTAACAGTCCAGAGATGCATATGTTTGGGCTGTGTGGCCGTGTCTCGCTTCTGTCCACGTTTCCCAGAATTCCTCTGGATTTCATGTGGACATCTCACTGTGGGCTCCATTAGCTCAGTCTGCTTCTCTCCAGTCCTCATTACAGCCATCTCCACCATCTCAGACTCACTCTTCATCTATCATGCCAACCCCAGTGCTCTCGGCAAGAGTTTGTTTTGCTCATTGTGAAAGGGATCTCACAATCTGCTCATTACGAAGGCAACCACGTCGTACTGCACTGCTATGATAAAATTTCATTTCACTCCAGAAACCCTCAAAGAAAGTTTGTACAATGATATATGAATAATCAGTATAATCTGAAAGCACCATATGCTGGAAAATGTTTTGATGAAGCAACTGGGAAATGAGCCAGTGGGGTAGAAAATAAGGGTATGAAAAACAGAGATCAAGGCACTTTTTTGTAACACATTCATCACCTTTAAAAATAAATGTAAAGAAATTTACTATGATAATTTTTAATAGTAAAAGTTATAAAAAAAATGTGCATGTTCATTTATACTACCATTCAAAAGACTGGAGTTGGTGTGATTTTATAAATGTTTTTTAAGGAAGTTCTCTTGTGCATTTATTTGATCAGTAAAACAGTAATAACTTTTATATTTTAATTTGTTCCTGTGATACCAAATTTTCAGTCTTCAGTGTCACATGATCCTTCAGAAATCATTCTAATTTGTTGATCAAGATACATTTCTTATTATTATCAATGTTAAAAAACAGTTGCGCAGCTTAATATTTTTCAGCAAACATTTCATCCAGGATTCTTTGATAAATATAAAGTTCAAAAGAACCGTATTTATTTGGGAAAAAAATAAAAAATTTGTAACAATGTGAATGTCTCTACTGTTACTGGAGAAGGAGGAGGAGGAGAATACGATAACTCCTGGGATCATCTCACTGTGGGGCATCCTGACTAATAATTTTTTGTAGAGGATACACATCCTTAGTCACAAATGTAATTTTCTTGAGTGATTAGTCACTAGTTAACTGATTGGCGCTAGGTAGAAAATAAGGGTATGAAAAACAGAGATCAAGGCACTTTTTTGTAACACATTCATCACCTTTAAAAATAAATGTAAAGAAATTTACTATGATAATTTTTAATAGTAAAAGTTATAAAAAAAATGTGCATGTTCATTTATACTACCATTCAAAAGACTGGAGTTGGTGTGATTTTATAAATGTTTTTTAAGGAAGTTCTCTTGTGCATTTATTTGATCAGTAAAACAGTAATAACTTTTATATTTTAATTTGTTCCTGTGATACCAAATTTTCAGTCTTCAGTGTCACATGATCCTTCAGAAATCATTCTAATTTGTTGATCAAGATACATTTCTTATTATTATCAATGTTAAAAAACAGTTGCGCAGCTTAATATTTTTCAGCAAACATTTCATCCAGGATTCTTTGATAAATATAAAGTTCAAAAGAACCGTATTTATTTGGAAAAAAAATAAAAAATTTGTAACAATGTGAATGTCTCTACTGTTACTGGAGAAGGAGGAGGAGGAGAATACGATAACTCCTGGGCTCATCTCACTGTGGGGCATCCTGACTAATAATTTTTTGTAGAGGATACACATCCTTAGTCACAAATGTAATTTTCTTGAGTGATTAGTCACTAGTTAACTGATTGGCGCTAACAATGAAATTGGTTGGAAACGCTCTTTCTAGTAATTACAGACCTAACTGAAGACAATGTGCAACAAGGAAGTTTTATATTCGTGTTTAAACTACAAACTAAACTACAGACACCCTCCAATTACTTTCTCTCTTTGAATCAAGCCGTCTTCCATTTTCATTTCTTCTTTGACATGTGAATGTATAATCATTACGCTTTTAACACTTCACATCTGTAACGAGGTGAAGAAAATCCGTCTGTCATCCTCTCATCAGGTGCAGAACTTAGCCACTGTGAACAAAGAGTTCAATCACTGTTCACCAATCAGCTAAGCTCTGCGCCTGCTCTGAGAGTCTTTCCTCGACACTCGTGCGTACGCTCGTTCACCCACGCCGCTCGTCGGCAGGGAAGCGGTCCTCCTCTGCATTTTCTTGTCATCCTGTCGGAGGCACACAGAGAAAAGCCATGTCTTCTTTTATTTTTATTTTCTTGAGCTGCGTTAAGATGGTGCCTCTGGTTGCCATAGCAGCCGTCCGAGCGGCGGTTGTGTGGTAATCCCTGGCAATGTGATTTTTATCTTAAGTCACAAATCAGCACGCCAGGAACCCACACAGCCAGCAACATGAAAGGCAAAACCTGCAGATCCTCTTGCTCTCCTGCAATGGAGCACGCTTGGCTGGGCCGTGGATATGTCCCTCATTATCCCCATTAAGACGCATTTCACAGGTCTCCGAACTCTGACTCCAGCCCTTGCTTATGAGGAGACGTTCAGATTTCAGCCCTGACACATTTCTCAGGAGTTCTCTTACACTTGTGGGGTATTTTTTTGTTTTTGAAGTACACCGATTGTAATCGGTAGACTGAGTATTTCTGAAAGGCATGAACTATGGCTGCTTTTAACATCTAGGAATAAAGAGAACTTTGAAAACTAAAGTTTTCAAAAAACTTATTTTTTCAGCTTTCAAACAGCTTAAAGGGGTCATATAATGCGATTAAAATTTTTCCTTTCTCTTTGGAGTGTTACAAGCTCTTGGTGCATAAAGAAGATCTGTAAAGTTGCAAAGACTAAAGTCTCAAAACCAAAGAGATATTCTTTATAAAAGTTAAGAGTCAACCACGCCTACCTAAAACACATACCTACTTCACTGTGTGAGAAGATTTGCATAACGCCGCCCAAATGTTCACGCAAAGAAAGAAGGCGTAACTTTTATTATCGCTGTAGTATTGAAGGCGCTGTGTGCTTCGTTGTGAAAGTGAAACTACTTTGTTTGGTCTTCCAAAAGAGGACGATATCGCTTCGTCATGCCTGGAGCTGATCCGTGCTGGTCGCTGAGGAAATACTTCAACTTCGCATGTGTCACATGTGGCACTACGTC